TATTTTTTTTAAATGACAGCCAATACGTGTCAAAACGGTATATTATTATCATTTGTCTGGAAATTATATAACTTCTGACGCGAAATATTTGGTGATATAATATGCTTTTGTGGTTTCAGGCACCAGTTTAAACTGTTTATTATAATTTATAGGTACACATGCCTTACCTAGGTAGGCATATGATTTCACACAGTCAGAATAATGGAATACCTACTATTTAATAACAATATAGATCAWAAACARGGTGTTTTGATGATATTTTCATCGTTAACAATWACTGACAGCCTACTGCAGTAATATGAAATACTCATCTCTATATATAGCTTATATTTACTCCCWTTCGTTTATATTTAAAAATCTYAATGAGAAAAATGATGCGATGGAAAATTTAATAATTTTACATATTCTAAATAATCTAGAAAACTTGCTGTTCCATTGAAATAACGAATATTATTGGCTGAATCGCATTGAGTATATATAAAATCCAACTCACCCGCTGGCGAGGTAACGTCGTCCTTGAGTTTTCCCGGATGTTCTTTCGTTTCTCGAACCATAGTCCCCGCGCCAAGGACAGTCTGCGACGCCAATCTGTACGCCATGTCTCTAGGCATGCCCATGCGAACGGCACCGTCAGCCAAAGCTTCGATAATCATGTACACCTGTATTAGTATAATAAGAGTATACGATGCTAAATATGTATGCCAGRGAAAAACCATTTGCTCAGTATAGTCAGTACCTATTCGATATCTGCAGTATAATATAAACGGTGTTTAGAAAAGTATACTGCTTCCGGTTTACAAAGTTGAAAATAAAATATTATTAAATTATAAAGGATAATTATATATATTTTTTTATTTTAATCTTCGGATACTGAGGCCATTAGCTATATGTTGGTTGATACTGTAAGTTTTGAAACACTTGTGTGTTTGACAGAATTTCTAGTGGGGCACTCATAGGTTTCTGCCATGCCCGGATGGGGGATGGCGAATAATTGTATTAAAACCCCCTAATATGAAATCTCTACTTTAAAAAATTACTCAAATAAGATTTTTGTGAAAAATAAGTGTTATCTTTTCAAATTTACAGACAGCCTCAGAGGAAATTATAAGTGTGGCTACACACTAGAAATGGATCACCCAGTATATGTCATAAATGTGTTTATGTTATTGTGATTTGGGGTACCTATACACGTCATAATAAGACTGCATAATATTATGTTGCAGTCCATTGTCCATGCGCAAGACACGCAAATCATTTGCTATATACCTGCCATAGTAAAATCATATAACATGGATATAGTGACAGCTATTGTACGTCGCATTCATAAAAAATWATAATAATGTAGGAACCCGACACGTGCTACAATTTTTGGTACTTTTATTATTATAAAACATCATATTTATTTTTTTAATAAACGTTTTAATTGCATAACTGAATATTATTGAGTATGTCAGTAGCTGCTCTATTATTTATTTTAATACCTGAAGCTTTGGAACAATGGCAAATAARTAATAACAAATTTAAAYGAAACTCATTGTATAATATAATGACAAGGGTATAATWACATAATTTTAAAGTATTCGATTTATTCAGCCGGAGCAGGAGCTCCTCCCAAATGCTATGTCAAGGACTAAGGAGACAGCGGAGATTGAGGCGTCGGCGGAGAAGCAGAGGTTAGCATTTGACAGGTTGGTGGAGACGATACTCGGGCAGAAGGAGACTGTAGAGCGCGTCAGGCAGTCGAGAGGTGGACGGGTAGGGTAAACAATTTTGTTTTCTGTGGGCCGAAGGTCAGCTTTTCTATGTGGTTAGAGGATCCCAATTTTGTATAAATTAACATGAATTAACGGTACAGGGACGAGTAGCAGTATTATGATGAATGTAGTTCCCACCCATTCCTGGTTTCGAATAGGGAAAAAAACAAGCCACAAGGTATTTGATTTATAAAAAAAAAAAGTTATACCATAATATAGGTACTTTAAACGAGTTACAGAACATTTGTTCTATAAATATAGTTCACGAACGGGACTGACTAGTAATTCAATAATATAATGATATAAGGAACAACATGCGCACGTATAAAGAAAATTATTGCCACAATAAAGATATTTTTCCGTGGTACAAAGGAGGGGAAATGGTACAATTTATAAGATTACTGCAATATTAAAAGCTCCCGCTTTAATCATTTCGCAGGCCACATAAACTTTACGAAACACGCGACTGTTTCATTTACTTAGTGATCGATATACTTATATATATAATATTATAGTAAAGTTGATCCATCTAATAGTTTCCCGAAATCATTTTATCATAAAATCATCGGGTATCCTGAGAGGATGAAAGATGTGACCGGAGAATTGACGGCTTAAACTACCACGCGGGGGAAATATTTTGGTCGTATGATGCTTCGGATACAGAATTGCTCATATTATATTATAAGGGAAGAACACGATAGCGTACGCTGCTCATCGTCGGTACCTCTTTCAATCTTTTTCATAACACGATTGCGATGTGGGTTACCCTTGCACCACTGTGTTCAAATTTTTTTATTTTTTTTTAACCATTGATTGTATTTTAATTTGCATGTACCGACTATAATAACACTAAGTACGTTATTTTTATGAAATACTATCACACTGGAAATCACATAAAGCCAAAACTGGAAAACGATACCAAATGACTATCGTGAAATAAAAGTTCAAAATACTCTGTAGGTTAGATGACTGACGACCGTTCAGATCAAGTGTACAGTTTTATAGAAAATAAATATAAAACATAATAAATGAAACAAAAAAAAAAATAATTAAGTCATAACGTGAAATAGACTTGGCTTTAATTGGTACAAACAAACATCTTGCATAGTGGTGTTTTGTTTATAAACTATTTCGATGATAATTTTTAGATGGTTTTTAATATGTATTAATCAGTGGTTGACAAATGTRTTGAATTATTATTTTTGTATTAATTATTGTTACAATTTCATTGCGTAATTTTTGCTGGTATTTTCAATAAGTGTAAAATGATGGATAGTGTWGTGGATTTGTATTTGTAATTATTGTACAGATTCACACGACGWTAAGACTTTAGACTTACGTATGCCGGACCGGATCCGCTAAGCGCAGTGATTGGATCCATTAAGTACTCTTGTACACGCTCCGCCGTGCCCACGGATGACAAAAGTGTTGCCGTTAGTTTCTCGTCTTCATCTGTCGCCATTTTGCCTGGCACGTACACGGAAGCACCGCACTGAACCAATGCAGGAGTGTTAGGCATCACTCGCATTACCCTTGAGCCATCTGGTAAGAGCTAAAAAAATAAATTGAGTTCTATATTTTTCAAAAATGAATTTTCGTAAATAATGTTCATGACGTGCTTTTTAAAATTAATGAGCCTCTAATACAGCCCGTTACTGAGATCAGTGAGATCAAGTTTTGGAAGGCTTACAGCTTATCTATATTAATTATAAAATAATATTAATTGATATAACTATAGAGTTATAAAATATTTAATAATCGAAGTCATCGAAGCTTATACTGTCCCTCCCAAACTAAATATATAGTAACGCAATAATATTTGGTCCAAAAATGTGTTCAGGACAATCAACATTTTCCGGCCAGAAATGTTTTCCCTACAGGCTGATCCTGCACCGATACATATGATAGTGTTGGAAAATCACTGCATAACGATAATATAATACATTTTTTTCCTTCAATTTGGTACCTGTACCTACATTAAAACTCAATCATTTAGAATAATTTATAGTGGGTATTTCAAATAAAAAAATAAAATWAATTTAAATACTCAAACTATGATTTAGACTTATTACATTAGCACTTATTTGTATAGATATGTTACCGTAAATRCCCGATCACAAGGTAAACCTAAGTTTTACTGTTTGTACTAAGTAAATGCTGAAMTTCTTAATTTTATTTGGGCTTTTGCTAAACACGTTGTGTACATCTTAGGATATACAAATTGTCTAAGTAAAAGCTGATCAATACACGACACATAACATTAAGTGATAAGYTGCGTAAAAATTACAATCATATATTATTAAAACAAACTACTGATACTACTGATAGTTATTTAAATTTTTAYACAAAATATAAATGTATTTAAAATGCCATAATAGTACATGTGCAAATAAATAAAAATTTTAWATAATAAAAATTTAAATAATTATTTCTAACAACCCACCAATATTTCTWATTTTWATGAACAAATAAATAATATTTCTGTTTTTAAATRCATTTTTATTTTGTATAAAAATTTAAATAACYGTCARTAGTTTGTTTGATCGGTCATTTACGGTAACAGATAAAGTAATACATAGTACCGTACTATAATAACTATAGTACCTTATAAAACTAATATACATAGGTTCTAGATATTYATATAGTATGGCTTACAAGAAAATCCATAAGCTACTTCAATAAACCTAATAYTTGTAAATATTAATAGATCATTTTAAATATTAAAAAAAAAGTTATCTACATCGACTACATCGTTTATAACCCGTGGGCTGTGAATTTGCAAATTTTGTTCGTTACTAAGCATACAATGAGTTCAATAAAAATTGAATTTACATTATTTCTACGCATATTATACAAGAGTACAAACGCAGTAAATACAAATTTCATAAGTATTTTTTTTTTTATAATTAAGTGCTTATAGGAAATCTGCCTATCATTATTATTGAAATATTTATTATCACATTCTCAATTACAATTAAACATTGTTTTTAATATTGTTGAAAACAGTGCTTATCAATAAATAAAAAAATTGATAATAATATCACTTATTAGGTAGGTACTATATAATATATATTATATTGTACGTACTATTATTAATACCGCGTACCTACTAATAATCGGATTTGTAATTTTATGAGAAGAATTATTTTATAAATAATATATTAACAACTAACAAGTAATTACACAAAATAAGTATTTAAGTAATAACATTATTATTCCTATTGTGAAGGTTATTCCTTCACAAATTTAATAATAATTAATAACATCATTATGATACAAATTTGCTAACTTTTTATTAATACAATCTAGTGCATGCGTATTGAACAGTTTATTAGTGCGTTAAATTCACAGTCCTGTTTATATAACTCGATAATTAAATTGCATTGACGATACCTACTGGTTTGAGGAAACTTATACCAAGGTATGTATTGTTATAATTATTTTTTTAACGTGTTCCACTTTTGTCTCGGTACCGTAACCTAAACCTTTCGATTAACGTTATCGATTTTTCACTCAATCAGCCATATGTCTGACGTCAATCAACATAATTTATAAAATAATAGACTGCAAAAACAATAACTGTTTGTACGAAAACATTATGACCCACTCCCAGAAATCGACCTAAATGTTTTTATCTTAAATGTTCACCCCCCTCTCATGTAATATATACGTCACATAAACTTTTTATTTTTTTATTTCAATAATATTAATCATGTCGATATAGGTATCTAAAAACTATTTAAATATTCAGTACTAGGGAACAATAAATCTCAGGCGAGTCCGTTAACACTATGAAGATACTAGTTATTTGTAAAAAAAGTATATAACAAATTTTGAATTTTAGTGGAACATTAATATATAATATATTATTGTATATTCATCGTTATAATAATATTATTGTATTATAGCTATATGAATATATTGTGATGTTTTTCATCTTGCTACCRATAGAAATCTAAATTTCGAGTGCCTATAAACCCATTTAATCCTGAAGTTACGAGTCTCGATGTTACCGAATATATAGCATTAATATAATCAACAACAACAATAACAACAACAAACATTAGCCATCGCTTGCCGCGTGCGTCATATAGCATATGTTTATTATCCAATTAGTCACCCTCAGTTTTATTGAGTTAAATTATCTTCGTACACGTACACATACAAGTATAATATGTTGTAATAAAATTTTAATTGATACCCGGACGTTGTGGTTCAGATGCGCTCCACTCCACCAACTTTCAAATCCGACATTCACATAATAAGTTTATTTCGGAAAACGTTTATATTACCATCATCACGTTTAACATAATACGTATGTGCTTACGTCAGTGTCGGAATGATCGTCGGATGAAATAACCGACTCTGAATTTGGTCATCGATCGYCTTCGTACATTCCCGCATTCAACACAACAGTACATCACAGTACTYAGCTCGCATGTAATGTTTGATTAAAACTTTTACGCCACTTAAAAGAAATTTGACATGGGACGACCAGTCGTAGAAGTGCTATAGTCGCGTTGTCGATTATAATAAATCATTGTGGATTAGGTGTATTATTAGTGAAGTGCATAMCTATATCACGGTATATATCACGCGTAGAATCATATAATATATAGTAATAGCTAGGTATAGTATCTAAATAGGTGCGATCGAAATTTCATCATGTTCGCAACGAACGCGATGATCATAGAAAGAAAGAAAAAAGTAGAAATAATACGCACGTTTTCCAACTGATTTACGGTGACACCCATGGCGACAGATAGCAACAGGTGTTTGCTGGACTCGAAATTTGGACGGATCTGGTCCAATACCGTCTTTACCACGGACGGTTTAACGGCCAGCAGTAAGACATTGGAGTTGTCGGCCACCGTCTGGTTGTCGAAAGTCACTTTCGATCCGAATCCCTGTCACCAATCAATGTCGAATTCGACCGGTATAATGTGATTAATAATATAAATATATTCGACTTACGGATACCTATATACCTAGGTACAGGTACCAAATTCCCGCGTAYGGATCTCGTTCGACTCACCTCGAAAGCTTCGACGCACTGCGTGTCTTGTGGGGCGCAGCTGGCCGTGATGTTCTCTCCTTTGACGAGACCTGTATAAAAAAAAATATATATATATATATATTAAAACATATGTTAATAAATTTTCGGGGACGAGTGTACGAAAAATGAATGAGTATAACACTATATCGAAAGAAAATAAAACGATCGATTTCCCGAATCTCACCGGCCGTCAGGAAACCTTTGGCCAAYGCCTGAGCCATTTTGCCGGCACCGAGAAATCCGATTTTCAACATATTCGCAGTATAGTAAAATATATGACGTGTAAGATGTGAATAATTTATGTTTATATTCGACGTCTATTCAGCAATACTCGAATACTAAACGTGAACTGAGGCCTGAACGCATGGCGAATACAACACCGGCTTAATACCTATACGTATAGTGCGCGTGTGAAATATAAATTATTATTTATTATAACCTTTGATTAGCGCAATCAGTGTATACCTAATATATATATATTATAATACTGATAGCTATAGCCATGCCGTTTAAAATTTCTGTTTTTTTTCGATAAGCACGTTTGGATAGGTAGGTATATGGGTACTATATAGTCGTACAATAATAAAATATATTATGCATGAACACGGATATATATATTTATATATACATAACGACTGTATATATAATACATATATATATAATACATATATATATATACATATAATATGTAGGTACCTACCTAATTACATAAGTATGTACGTTTGTTACGATAACAAGTTGCGAACGAGTGTTATTTTTTTATTGTTTCACTAATAGCGTCAGATTGTGTATATGTATGTGTTTGAGGTTCTATGTAATAATATGTATATATAATGTTATTCATTCCTTCGTAAAATATGTATAAGGTATAACAACTGTATAAGAGGTTGCGATTAAACTTCACCGAGGGCCTTAAGTAAACGCKGGTCGCGGAATAAGTGCAAAGACAATATTTAGGTACAATAATGTGAATAATGTAGGTACACATGTAAGCCTAAACATTATTTCAAGTGCTTTAAAATTTTAAAGTGTTTTAAATATCAAAATATATTGAATATAGGTACGCAGCGATTATAATATTAGTTGATTTTGATTAGTTTATAATGAGTCTTCCCTAAACAATTTTCCGAACCCTTTTAAACTGCAGATACCTAGGTCTTAGATAGATAAATCGATTATTACACTATGTTCACCAAATATATAAAAATAATTGGCTTACACGCACTAGTTTAAATCATATAATATTAAACATGTGCAACGATACGTTAGTTGCATTTTATGTGCTAATATTTATAATAATATTATGMAGTCCCAACTTCGCTATTCAATAAATTGTGTTKCTAACCCAATATATTCCAATTAACATTACCTAACTTAGTACCTTATATTGGCTATTACWATATAATATATTGGGTATGTTTAGTTTAATTAGACAATAATTATTATAAAACGGTAGTCGGTATTTTTAAATAGTAGTTATAATAATGTAGGTAATAATAATAAGTCATCGGTAACCTTCGTCCTTCGATCATTTATGTTTACAGACATAATATTATGACTCATTGGTTATCATTAAATTAACGTTTAAATTTTCACAAATAATTAATGCATTTTAAATTAATCTATTAGAAAAATATAAGCAGTAATAAAGTACTAATAACCATAATATTGTCGAAATGTTAGTTCATTTTTTTCACCGCGATAATTACATCATATATAGGTACCTATACAAGCGGAAATGTTCCCCTCGGAGGACTTCGATTTAACGATACCGTATTACACATCACATGGAGATTACATAGTCGTTGTCCACTCACATATACTTGCCGCTCACACAAAAATATTTTCTGTATTACATTTTACCGAAAGATTTCACGATTTGTATTCTCTAATTCGTGCTTTACACAAAATATTTACCGTTTTAAAATTCTAAGGATWTCGCACATTCAAATCAGTTTCACTCATCCTTACTCGTAAATATATGCCATATACACATTTTTTTCCTGTGTAAACTATAGATTTTTTTTATCAAACTTTAGGTATTATAAAACTGAAATAATATTAAATTTAGTGTGTTCACATTTTTATTCATTTTGGTCAAATTGTTATTTTTTTTTGAGTGATACTTTTGTTACCAATCTGAGTAGGTRCCAATGACTAAAATATATTTTAGTTACGTAACCGAATGAAACTTCTTAATGTAACCCTAACATACCCAAAAATTATACGATTCATCCAACTTTCTCGAGTCCCGATCCCGTTTGCTGCAAATGTCTGCCAATCAATATTAAATGTTGCAGATTTATATATATTTACTTACCTTTCAAAGATAAATAAAATATTAGATGATACTGSAAAAATTATTCTTATGAATGTGTGGAGTACCTATATTACCTCCACGTGGTGCATCCCAKGTAATGATAACGCCTATAACAGAGTGTTTTGAAGAGTCTATATGAGCAAGTGGTTTGATTTTCTGATATTCAAATCGAATTTTAGTAACTTCAGGCTTTGAAAAATTATTCTTCCCGATGGGAATTTCCCATAATCTTGTGAAAATGTCTTAAAAGTTACCATCATAAAACCGTGTACGGTACACGGTGTACCCTTCTCCACGACTGTGAAAGAGTTTGCGACTAAGAAAGAAGTTTCACTTCATACGCGCGTACCTACATGCAACAGTTGCAACACGCACCTAGTTTTTTCATAAGGTTTAGTAAAAAATAAAAGTTGACACAGAAAAAATAGTAAAATAATGTGTATATGGGTAAGTAAGTAAGTAATTATTTTCGTGTTAAGGGTGAAACCGATTTTAAGTGTGTGATCTCCCAAGAATTTAAAAATAACACGGTAAAYATTTTGTGAAATATAAGAATTAGTGGACAAAAATCGTGAAATCTACTTTGATGTATAATACGGTAAGATCTATGTTCATTGTCCATGTTTGGAGATGGTGTACCTATATTATAGTTACCTACCTACTGCGGCGGGAAAAACGTTCGTACTGTAGTGAACGTACAAATATGTAATTTACTAATGGCCGTTGTCGCCGATGTCTTTGGATCAATAAAAAAAAAAAAAATGTAATTTACTACTTACGATCTTCACCAACCACGTTAAATTGAATATAAAATATTATTTGATCATAACTGATTTATTTTCTGTAACCAATGGCAACAATATATAAGAATAAAAAATTGATAGTTTTTCGTGAGTCAACAACTTTATTTATGTTTTGAAAATTAAAAATTAAGTACCTTAAGTAATAAAAAGTTATCATAACTATAGACATTACTAGTTTTTGAACAGGAACAAAAAGGCTATAGACATTTTTCTGAATCTATTGATGAACTTCATTTTATGAAAATCGACCGAAAACTGTGGATTTACATATAGGTCATCTGCTTAAGGATTTTTATGTTATGTAGGTACCTAGTAAATACATTTKATAATTAAAGCTAATTTTGCATTGAACGTAACAGAATATTAAATAACGCAAGTGAATTTAACCTGTCTTAAATTCTGTTAAAGGTAAACAGTAATTTTTGTAGATTGAAAATATATAAAATATAGGTCTAAAATTACATACCATTTATTATAATATTATAATTTATAATTAATAGTACACTTGTGACTTTTCTATTAAGCTGTTTCTATAAAACATACCTACCTCTAGTCCATACTTAACCTAACCTAGGTATATAGGAAAATAAAACATTCACAAATCAATGATATACCTACAACTAAAATTGTATGTATTTAACAACAAAAATGAAATCATATTAATTGTTTATTCGATGATATTGTTAAAATATAATCACAAACCTCTAATGGTTTTAATAGTTTCTTACATAAACTATTCAATCAAAATTATGAAACAAATACCTAAAGTAAATGGCATTTACTAAATGCTAAACTAGAAAAAGAAAATTACATATATTGTAAGTATACTATTCTCTTAACTTTTAATATTTGTTAGAAGTGCATTGTAATTGGTTTTACCTAGTACCTACCTACTTAATTTAGGCTATAATTTACAAGAAAAATCCCAAAAAATACACCACTTCGAATTATTTTTATATATTTTACAAGTTTTCTGTTCCTAAGCTATTGCATCATATTATATATTAAAATCATAATATTTATCTAATGTTAAACATAAAATAAATTAAAAATAGCTTGTATAAAAAAATGTTACCTCACTTAGTCATCTCAATTTTTTTTATTATTGTTTATCTTTTACACCAAGAATCAAGGGAGTACAAGARTTAAAGCAAAAAAAAGATTTAATAGTAGTACCTAATAAAATAACTTAAAAAAATATTTGGGTACATCTCTTTAAGTGTTTAATGACTACTGTATTTAACACCAATTAATACATTACCTAACATTCATCTGAAGACTGAAGATTTRCGTCATATATGTGAAATATGAGTATGATTAATAAATTGTGTAGCCGTGTAGGACATAGCTATTGAATTTGAAAAGCACAGTAGCTACTACATTTAGAAATGAGTATTGTATTGTTATTAGAAGTAGTTTATTTTTGTTATATTATTCAATTGCTATTGCTACAATAATTATTAAATTTAACTATTATTATTATTTAAATTATATTTTTTACATTGAGAAATTCAGACATATAAAGTAGGTTCATTTATAAGAATTATTTTTTTTTCAAATTTTTAGAAATAAAAGATTAAATAATTAATATTGAGTAAATAGAATAATTTTTTAAGTAATTCAACAATGAAATAACCTATTTACTTTTATCCTATATGTGTTAATATCAGGTGTTTACTATCACTATTAGATTAAACAGTCAAGAAGCAACAAGATGTCTAAAACACGTGTAGTGTGTAGATAACCGTATAAAATACTAAGATTAATAAGCTAGTTGTTGCCATATATCAGACTAAAAAATTACCAATATTATACTGTTCATAAGATTATAAATAATCAACTGAGTACAAATACAATAATTCAAATATAATACAATTTTAAAAACATAATAACCATTGTCATATGTTTATAGATTTTTATTTAAAATACTAGTATATTGCAAAAAAATATCTGCATCAAAACTACACCAATTTTTCATCGCATATTTTTTTAATTTTTATCAAATTAATACATTTTTAAAATAAGACATTACAATTTTAAATGATATTAAATATATTTATACCAATAAACTGATTTCAATGGGGTCCAACTAGACATACTTTTAACAAAGGTATAGAGTGATGATGATGAATTTATTAGTAATGAAATTCAACTAGTTCAAAATATTATGTTTAAATCATTAAAAAAATTCTATAATTTACAAATATTTATATAATTTAATGTAAGTAACATCAAAATTTTGACAATCAACACTTATTACAAAAATTATACTTATTACTCTTTAAACAGTATGAAAGAACATTCACTCTTAATACTTATAAATTTGTAAAATAAAAAATAACTTTAAAATTATATGTATAAAAAAGGAAGATTAATTTAATAAATAGGTTATTTAAACTAATTTATAATAAATAAGAACATTCTTTATAATAACMAGAATATTTATTTTCATGAAACAAAAAATTAAAGAATTTTTTCTTAAAGCATTGTCAATATTTACTTTTTACATTGTACTTACCTTAAGGGTTAGGTTGAGTGTTGCTTAAATTTGAATTTCATCAATCCAAATGATTGTAAGACTAATTTATTAATTATTACATAATTTAATTCTTCATAAGCATATAGGAAAAGTAATTTTGCTACACTGTGTAATGTTTAGAAATAACTGTAATTTTATGTATTATGTAAATGAAAAAAAGGCAATAACAAAAAGAAATTATTTTTGGAAATGATTAACATTCAATTTAACTGTGATCTCAATCATTATATCCAACAAAATACAAATTTTTTAAATGTAGTTCAATATTGACAAAAAGATAAATAACAAATTTATAAATAAAAATCAAATTTAAAAAAATGAGATCGACATCAGGCTTTTATTGTCCTGGAAATAATATATTAACATTAATAAAATCAACTAACCATATCTTACAGCAAAATATTTCAATTCAAAAGTAATCATTACATCATTATCATCATTGAATTTCCATCCAATGATGCTGAAACACTATTTGAACATGTTCTCATCACACAGTGTCTAGTAAACATCAGGAAACAATTTTGAGATTCTGGAAATAAAAATTAAAGATGATTTTTTTTTACGTTTTTATTKTTTTGAAAACATTTAATTCTCAAAAAGATCATACATGAGTCTAAAATTGTTTAAAATTATGAATACTGTATTACTAAATCCGTTTAGGCGGTTGATACGAACACAATGGAAAATTGTTTAATCTTTTAAGTATACTTATGTTATTACGTAGGCGGTAGGCGTAATCATAGTTATAATAATAATAATAATAATAATAATAATAATATTAATAGTAGTAATAATGGTAATAAATAACATATTTTTTATAATTATTTTATTATTTAAACCTAAGTTAGGTTATTTTTCGGCTGGCGATAACCTAAATACACGAGCCATCACATTGTGTTTCATCCGCTGGAAGCGGTTCTCAACCAAAATGGTACCATCTATAATAAACAATATTAGAATGTAGAATAATGAATTTTTTTAGTCATTATATCAATAATAATAACTAATAAAAATGAAACAACAATTTTTTTTTTTTAATGTTGAAAAGTGAGAATTTTGTGCTGGTGCTAAATAACATGCTATTCATAAGCGTTTAAAATTGTCTTTTATAATTAAATTTTAGGGTTTGGCCTTATTATTAAGAGATCCAACAAAAGGGGCTCAGCAGCTCTACAAATTTAAAAAAAAAATAATAATAATAAAAACAATTYGTCAAATTAGACAGTCCAATCGGATCAAATAATTTTAGCAGATCTTTGTTCGAAATTGGCAAGTTTTTAATCATATTAATGCTTGTCTGCACAATACTATTTAATGGCATATTATGCCAAATGAGCAGTAATACAGTAATACTGTTCTAATTTTGATAAGCAATCATCAAAGTGCATCTCACGATGACAGAAAAGTTGTATGAACTATAATTAGTATTAAAAAAATTTCATCCAAATGAAAGATATCCTACACTAGAAATATATCATTGAATCTTGGTATAGGTACTGACAAATCAGGTTTAATTCAATTTAGATAAATAATTATTAAGTTAATCTAATAAAATCTGTTCCGATTAGACTATAAGTAACATTCTATAACTTATAAGCGTGTCATTTCTAATGATTTAAGATCACCCCCCAGAATTGCCATTTGTATGGTATCTGAAGCCATGTCGGCGCTGCTTGAAGACTCCGTGTAGCTAGGCGTGCCTTCCGTCCATGTGGCTTCCACAGATTGTCTGCCTGCTGAACCCCCGATGCCAGATGTAGTGCTGCCCGATCCCACACTCAATGTAGACGACTTACTCTCGCCGGCGTGCGACGAGCCAGAAGGGCCATCTATGCGCAATCCTGGTGATGGACGACGTATGCGAGTCATGCTGGAACGTTTTTCGTATACAAAGTCACGGCGAATAGCATCCTCAAATGCTGGTGGTGGTGTTGAACATGTGGAAAATGTACCTTCCGCATCAGTTTGATCACGCGTTCGAGTACGTGACATGCTACGTCGCTTAGATGGTGAACGTTTTAAAGGACACAAAAGTTTCTTGAACACAGATCTAAAATTTAAAAAAAGTTTAATCATTGAATAGATAAATTAAAAATATTAATTTCACATACTTCGTCATAAAGTCCAAAAATCTAGTAGCATAGAAATCAGGTCTGTGCACAGAAACAGAGTCGCCATCGTGTATGATGGCTTTGAACGTATGCTCTAGTTTCTTCTTTAGTCTATAACTTTGAAGTATGTCAATAATTCCAACAAATAGTAATAAGCTATCACCACTTCCACTTCTAGCAGGTATGCCACCTCTAGGCGAAGSACAATCTTCATCTGACGAAGTTCCAGTGTCTGCTTGAATACTTTCCATAGCTGTTGAATGAGCCATCAAACGTTGCCGGTTGGCTTCAGCTGTTCGACTTAAAGTAGACGTTTCTGATAAAGTATCTGCATCAGTTTCCACAGCCTTGCGTAATCGTGCCACTCGTCGTTCTTCTTTCTCTCTCTGAGCAAGGTCGACGTTATGAACGCCCACTAAAAGACTGTAGTCCATTATTTTAAAACTTTCAAGAACTCGACAATCTCTTTGCATAGTTTTTAGAAGAGCTGAGTGGGTGTCTGGCTCCAAAAATATACCATCAGGATGATGTTCTTTAAAGTCTAAATCTTTAAATGTAGGCGATGACTTTTGTCTTTCATCTTTGGAAGCTTTTCTTTTGTAAGTAGAACCTTTCAGATCATACTTTTGGTGCATTTTTATGTTGGAAGGTAATAAATTGTTCATAGCTACTAATCTAATATTTTTTGAGTTGCATTGATAACAATAAAGACCAAAAAATTTTGGCAATAAAGTTCTCGGATTCTGATTCAAATTCATGTAGTATCCAGGAAGTAGTTTTTGTAAAAATTCACCTTCCTTATGCTGTACAGTTTTCATGATAAATTCATCATCCCGTGTGAGATAAAATATTGATCCACTAGCACCCGGGTTGGACAATTCACGGAGTGGCGAGTTACAAAACGATATAAGATAATCATCTGGCTGAATGCCAAATAAATCTCTGAAATAACGGAATGCAATTGGAGCGTATGTCTTAAAAATAAACTCTGGATAATGGTGAGCTGGAGTGTGATTAGTACCATCACTTGGAAACACAGTCGTTTCAACAGTCATAAAATCTTGCATAAGCAAATCACGTTCAGGTTTTGAAGCAAGGCCTCCTACTGCATGTTGTATTCCCAGTTGTATGGAACCCATAATTTGACCAGTTTGAATTTTTTTATAGGTGATTTCTCCATCAACACCCACTCGCCTATGTCCAAGTTTTTTCTCTTTTTCTTTGGCTTGGAGATCATCTTGTTCAGCAATCGATATGTCTTTTTCGGTAGCAACATCTAAAACAGTAATAAAACAAAATCAGTATCAAAAATCTAAAAAAAATAAATTGATAACTAATAAATAACAATTACATGTTTTGGGTATATGATGTAGGTCATACAAATTACAATAATATAATATAATATAATAATCCATTCTAAATGCTTTATTTTTTATTTTACTAAGGTTCTACTATTTATAGTACTTGATATTATATGTATATCTAAAACAGCTTACATTTTCTAAACATAAATAAAAATAGTTTTCAAACAAGGACGGCTGCGGCACCTAAAACTGTTTTATCCTATCTACAACTTCCCCAAACAGTATTATATTAAACAAATAAAAAGTTAAAACTTCAACGGAAGAATACAAACAAATCAATAACAAAAAGTTTAGAGTTATCAAAATCAGTTTTAATTGTGATTTGCGATTTGTAATATTATTAATTTATTGTGCAGAAAAATGTTTCGCGATCTTAAGTTTTCAATATCAATAAGATTTTTTGGACTATAGTATAAATTGTATTCCAAAACATCAGTAAACATTTCGTTGAAAAAATATAATAGTCACCAGACTGCCATCGGAAAAACGAAAAAACCTAATGGCGCCGCCCCCGTTATCGAAAACACAATAATATCACAGATTATATTATATTTATTTATATAATATTTTATATAATCTGTGATAATATTTTGATTGACAAATATAGCCGACAACTGCGGTATTCTATATTAACAAAGATTACAATATAAAACTTATATATAATCTATGATATTACTATACAGTCATATGTGTCTCTAAAGAATTAGTGTTGTGTGTTATCATACTAATATATAAATACATAATTCGTAGGCACAGTATCAAGCTACTTGTACAATTATTAAAGTCTTACCAGAAATTTTATGGCATCTTACAAAAAAAATCAGACATTTAAGGAAATTAATCATAGTCGAAGTAACAGTTTTAAATACATTTTACGATTTGTAAATGAAAAACTGTGTCTTAGAAAAGTTGAACGACGGTCACGACCGCACATTGAAATCGAAATGATTAAATGTCATTCAACACTTCAACAGTCAACACATAGAACGACTTATCTGAGTTATCATTTTTACATTCGATAGTATTGAAAATAATTACTTGTCGTTTTTATTGTAGTCGTATACAGATAAGATGATGTGTATTGCGTGTGATCATAAATATCAATCATCAATCATATAGTCTAGTTTAACCTGATTCCTGAACTATTATATATTTCAAGATATATGTAATAATACGTCATAGAGGTTTGATAATAATAGCCAAGACAGTAAACCCATGGTCATAAAAATTAGAACCCAGTCGAAATTAAGGACTACAATTTTTTTTCTACAATACCTCTGTTGAATTGAAATTCGCCCTATTCTGGTTTACTGTTTCGTTTGACGCCCAATATAACGCTGAAAGACATAGTCAACTACCTATTAAATTTTGACTACGAATATATAAATAAATCACTTAATTAGAAAGATAATTTAGATTGGGAAAATTGTTTTAATTATAGTTTTTATGAACAATTTAAAAATACTGTCTGCCACACAGAACTCAAAACCGACACATGATGTGCATTGTGCGTGTGAAGGTACAGCTTTTATTTGTGTAGAACGGTGAACGATCAGCTTAACAATATAATAAAATGCTCTAAATTTGTCTTTGTGAAACACACGAGGTTTCAAGTACACAATACAACACAATGATTAATATTTTTTAACAATAAAAGAATTAATGTATGGTAGTTCGAGCTTTCCTTTATTCAGTATATTACCCTACATCAAGCATTGAAATACTATAGGCATAAAACCATTTTGTACCATTAATTCGCGCATTCTGATTCGCAACGTAATGTAGTAAACATTTCAAAAATAATTTTCTTTTATACAGAATTTTTTTTAAAACCATTATTTTGGTCGAATAGACTTTAAAAAATGAAATAGACTTTCAGTGGCGAACACAGGTGGACAGGGTGACACCTCCCCACCCCCGAAATATTTTCCTTCGTTAATTTCTTTTTAAACTAAATTTTTCAATCAGAAATTATTATATACACAACCTTTCAGAAAAATAATCCAGTGTGCGCTATTGCAGTCTACAATTATGATTGAGAAAATATTAGTTTAAGAGAAAAATAAAAAATATTACTCAATACAGTCAAAATAACATTTAACCATATTTTTTGAAAACAAAATACAACTTTTCAAGTAAAACATTTCTTGTGAAAAATACACTAATTTCCATTTATGACTGAAAAATTAGTCAGATATGTCTTTATCCTAATTGAGAAAAATAATGCAAATTCCTATTAATCCATGAATTCGAAAGGATAATATTTGAATCGGTCCCAAGAATTCTGTCCATAATAAGCGTTGGTCAGAATTAATTAGTATATATTATAATACTAAAGTATAAACAAGGCAGGAGCTTTAAATATTTCTGTTAAACTGTAAAATTATTAACATTTAAATTAAATATGACTAGTATACAATAAACTTGAAACCTAAGATGACTAGAAATATGAAATATTTCATCAATTATATACTTTGGCAAATTAAGTTGRAGGCGTGTGCAGGATTTACAGCTACATAATCTGAACACAGCGGTTTTTCTTTAATCTCTTATCAATATGGTAAAGATAAACAAAAATTATTATAACATTTTATCTACAAGTACAAAAAAGTAAAGAAGAATTAAGATGTGTGATTAATCACAATCATTTGTTGTATCCAACTTACAAGTGCATAAAATAGCAAATTAACGCTCAGCAGATCACGTTTAGATCCGTTAGTAGAAAAATTAGAGTGAATAGACCTATGTATTATGAAACTTTATGTTAAGAACATTATCTGTGTCTTATGTGGGTTTTTACGATAGTTCAATTTTATAGCAGGTTATGCGTAAATTAAAAATGCTCATAACTCATTTAAAAACTAAGTTATCGTAAAAAAAACCTACATACAAACACAGATAATGTTCTTACTATCAAGTTTCATAATAAGTTAATTTATTCTAATTTTTAAACTAACAGAATCTAACGTGATCACCTAAGCGTAAATTTGTTATGTTACACACTTGTAAGATGGAGACACCAAATATATGTATAGCATCTTCTTAAATTTTCCAAGTTCATGCAAAGGATGGATAAACTTATAAGACTAAAATAAAGTAAACTATAAAATATGGAAAAAAAAGTGATGAAGGGAAATGATAAAAGCATAGCAAAAACACATATATATTTTAACCAGAATATTAAACCCTTAAAGTAATTTTCATGGTGCAGTGATGGCATTTTGCATACACTGAAAAAAGGTCTGGGCACACCTATGATTAAAGTATTATATCATCTACATTCTAGTATGTATTAAAATGTTTAAATATAATCATTAATCATCAATTTTAATATTTAGGTACAATGAATCTAATATATCACATTATCTTAAAGTTACAAGAAAATTAATCCCTATGAGCATTCATTATTCATAAATATTTTAATATAATAATAATAATAATACTACATAGGTGCCACTTTTTGGGTTGTAAGTGTAACTTATAATATTATAATAATAAATATAAAACCATAACACTAAAACATATATTTTAGACTACAAAGATAATTATGACAAAGATCAAAATTATTTACTTAAATCCAATGTTAATACAAACAAGAATGTTAACTTAATGAAACAAAAATATGTAAAACCAAACTTTTTTTCTACAAAGTTCTAAAATTAACATTAAAAATCAAATTTGTTTTGAAAATTGTTTTCATTGAGTTTTATATGTAAATGGTACCTAAACAAAGATTTTAAAAAAATGACTCACCATTAAGTACGCCATACTTTTACGTATTGTCTCTGTCTTACAAATATACAATAAGGAAAATTAAGTTCACAATAATACATATTACTCTGTAATTTCAAAAATAAAAGTGAAATGACCTCTCATAAAATGTAAAGGTAAGAATATTATCTAGAATTCTAGAGCATCATCTTTTAGGATTTTTATTAAATTTTAATTTTAAAGCGAGTTAAGAGTATTTTGAAATGTACAGGCAATTTACAATTTAACAATTTCTAATTTTAAAAACAAAAGAGTAAAATGTATTATTTTGAATGTAAAAGTTGTAATTTCTTATGTTTGTAAGATGGAATCAACATGGTATAATGTCCTCTTAAGCATTATTAACTTAGAGCTTATTTTTAATTTTTATTTCTAAATATTAATAATTGTAGTATAATAAAGAACTTTAATTATCAACATGCTCTTGATATAATGTAAACATTGTAAACTCAATTGTATACACATGGTCATATAAAGTAATATCTTTAAGGTATGCAATTATATTTAAGTAAATCTATAACATTTCTAAAATTTTAATTTGCTAATTATTTGAAGCTGAAATATTGATTTAAAATTAACTAAAAAAAACATGGCATTAACTAAAGATTTGTCTATTTTTCTATTCTATAAATAAATATAATTGTTTTTGTGAAATTAAATTAAAAATTAAAAAAGCTCTCTTCTAAATAAGCATCTATCTTGATTACATAATATATACATATATTTTAATTAGTTTTAGATGATAAAAACAATATGTATTGTTGTGTTTATTTATTAAATTAAAGAAGTAGCTTAGATACCTAATTACAATATCCTACAATAAATCAATATAATTATAAATTATAATCAATCATGTTAATTGCAATACCTAATTAGAAATTTATCAGAACTTTAATAAAATAGTTTACAATTAATCAGTAAAATATTTTAATAGGTTTTACACTAATCCTGTTTTTGAATATTTTAAATTGATTTCTAACAATCTTATCTTTTATAAAAATGTATGGAATTTACATAAAATATTATCTTTCAGTCTCAATAATAGGATTATCATGGCATACCATTTTTCATAGATGGTCACCCATCTTAAAAAAAGCAACCATTAGAACATCATGTTATGTCCATTAAGTATATATTTAAAAAAACATAGAGGTATCCTAATTAGTAATAACAAAAACCTTAATAAATCATAAAAATATATCAAATAGTTAATATTTATAAAGGTAGTACTCTGCATACAATTAATTTGACAAATCTCCTTTACTTTTAAGTGCTAACAAAGTAACAAAATATATAAGTAGAGACGTATAGTTGAGAGAACTAATATCTGAAATTTCTATTAGGTAATTAAAAAAAAAATTCAACATAATAACCATGAATAAATAAACAGGTATGATAACAAAATAACAGTTTTCGTCTGGTTTGCGCATAATCTCAGTGTACTATACACAAAACTATTGCTCGATGTTATCCACATTTTATTGGTCGGCAGTGTCAATAGAATAAAATAGAAGTAGAAAACCTCACGATAAACGAAGCAAGGGTGGTATGAGTATCACAAAAGTTGTGATTATACCTATTTATTTAGTCATACTAATAACATTGATTAAGCATGTGTTAACATAAGTTTAATTGATACTATTAATCATTAATGTCTGATAAATTTCTTTTATTGATTTTCTATGTAGGTAATAATAAAAAACATTTAAAACTAAGGTTGTTAATATCATTTGGCAATAAACTAAAAGTTTGCCAACCAATCATACAATGATTACCAAACGTACTGTAGGAAAATTAAATAAACACTAATATATTTAATTCATTAAATTGTTTATAAGCTTATAAATCATTCAAATGGGTTTTATATAATATATGCATCAAAGTACATCATATAACATATATTTCTTATTTATAGTATTTATACCTCATATCAAATAATTAGAAATACTAAATAATGAACAATTGAGAACAGGTGTTGTAAGCAATCTACCATACTTGTTATGATTTAGAACTCATTTTGGCCATCTATCACCAACTATGACATCACACAATTTGGTAAACACTTTAGCCCACAACTATGAGAGAAGTAGAACTAGGACCATGTAGAACCAACTTAAGTGATGAAAGATGAAAAATATACACAACTTTAAATCAAATTTGTTTATCCGTAAAACTATAAATCAGAATAACAATTTTTAGACTTGTTTAGACTCACAACACACCACACATTAAATGTTTATTGAGCATTACACAACAAAACTATGATATGCAAGTCAATATGGCACTTCCTGTTTGTAAGAAAGTTGCAAAATGAAATTGCAGTCTATACAGTATGCAACCATCAAATGACATATTCAAGCAAACTTTTGTAATTAATTCATTAGGTATTATTATTTCTTAGTGGATAACAATATTTTTTAACATACAAAACTTTAGTGATAAATTAAAATTTAATACAAATTAATTAATATAGGTGCCTAATGAATACATATTTATAAATTATTTAAGTATTTTATTTTTTTTTTGCTTTTTCCCTATTTCTTTCTCTTTCCTATTTATCAGTAAATTACGCAGATTGCTACTACATAATTACTGGTTATAAAATTACAATATAATAACCTACTTACAAAAATGACTATCTTATCAATCAACAACTCAAACAAATTGTCACTTATTGAATGTTATAATTAATTATTTTAAATTTAAGAACAATACATTATAATACATAATATCAATAATGCTGAACTTACCCTTATCAAGCGTTGATTCGACCTGTTCTTCAATGGCGGGTCTGATATCGTTTGTAGCCATTATGATTAAGATTTCACTATTTAATTATCTGTATCTTTACATGACCCTGCGATTTCATTCAATTTGACTGCTATTAACTCATTGAATCGTCGACAATAGCCTTTGCTGATATTAGACAATAGTGCAAAGTGAGTTTCGTAACTAAATTGCGAGTAGTTGAMGTCTTGATCAAAAGCTTCGGCGACAACACGAAATCCGTGTTTATTCAAAAGTACACAAAACTGTTGATTTTCAAGTGTTTCAATATTCAAGTATACACCGTCAGAAACTGTCAAGGTTGATATACTAATATGATTCAACAGGGATATCTCGCTATCGATCACAGACTTTGCTTCAGCGTACCAATCAAGTGGCTTTTCCATGTAAGTAATTCACCTGAAAAATATACGAAAAACTCATTAGGTAACGTCTAGGTAATGACAATCAAGATGAACCAGTTTAAGCCAAGGTTAACAATGTTTTGCCTAACCTTAAAAAAAATAATATTTTAGGTTGAAGGACTCAAATGACGAGAAAATAAGAATACATAAAAATATGTAAACGACGGCCAAACCAAAATCAACAATAATAAGAGGCGGTCGAAAACTGGAGATATCGTTAGTGTATTAGGATGCACACAACACATTTTGTAAGCTATGCATCAGTAGGCTAAGTATTGCAGATATGGAAAAACRACTTACGGGTGGGTGTTTTGTTCAAAGGTCGGCTAGGTAATCTAAAGGAAAGGGCGGGAACCGTGATTCCGTCCGCTTTAACGCGAAAAAACACGCGACCAGTATATTCTATAACAGAACATTTTCACGAAATTTAAAAAAACACATAATAATAATAATAATAATAAKAAGAAGAAGAAGATTATACAATAACTAAATATCTACAAAATAATAACAGAACCCGAAAAATTATCACTAGTCTTCATGAATCACAGGTGTTGATAATAGAAACGATTTCGGGTATTGAAGTTAGCGACGATCGATGATGAACAATAATTTTTCACTTTTTTTTTCTTCTCAAAACACTGTCTGCTGCCGACGCTACCACCGGTCTGCGCGGGTTTAGCCGGATTTCACGTACGCTTGCGCATCACCGTCCCACTTCGCACAATATTAATATTATTATTTCGCAGTTTCGCACCGTCGCGAATAATATTATGTGTACGCCGAACGGATTATTTTTTTACGTTTGCAAGCTCTAGAAAAAAAAAAATGTAAACGGAAAAAAAAAAAATTTTTAAAGAACACTACAGGCTTTCCGTTGTGTCCACATTTTTTTATACGATACATACTTGATTTGTTCTTATAATACTGTCTTGCTATGTAAACGAATGCGAAACGATCGACAATTTTACGAGATCACCGCGCACTATACGCCCGGACGGCCGAGATACGCCTATACGGCCTAGCAAACTATCACCTATAATCTATTGTGATGTTTGTGTGTATGCGAATCGTACGAAAATCGCAAGACCGCGGTCGATAGCAAACATATTACGATACGAGCTGGAAAAAAGAAACGAAACTAGATCACGAAATTCAATCGATTTGAATATTTCTCGTCGCGTAGTTGAGGCCGAACGACGTGCGACTAGCCGYCGGGACTAGGTACGCTGCAGTGACTATGCAATAGGTACGACTTAAAAAACGGTAGATGGGCGTACAGCTCTCTGTGCATAGGTAATGGTATAGGTAATGAACAACCCAGATGCAGCACCTACCTGTCGGCTCTCACGGTGCACCCGGGTATGCCTAGGTAGTATAGGCACCGATATAATRTTATTACTATAGTAGGTACGATTTGTAGAAAGTGACTGCGTTAAAAATAATATTCGTCATGATTGTACAGCAGCAGCAGCTACTAGACATTGGCAACGACCTAAAACGTCTCAGAATACGATATTAGATAGCAGCTGGCCAGCAAGGTTATTGGCTATACTATATAGGTGTATGCCTTCGCGTGCGTCTTATTTTGCTATATATTATATTGTCGACTTCACGATGGCGCCTAAACTGCTGCAGTTTATCGATCTTATGAATCGATTAATTGAAACGTAAAAAATATATTATTATTAATACGATATTGTTAAACGGCACCGCACTCGCAGATTAACAATTTATTATATTCGGTAATATTGCCTATACATATAAAATATATATACGATACATGATACATCCAAATGATAGATGCCCACAACTATAACACTGACACACTGACATACTGTAGTAACTCGTAGGTGCCTACTGTCTGTTAAAAGATAGCACCGTGGACTAAATCATAGGCCTATAAAGAAATTTTTTTTAATGCCATGTCTATAATCTAAWATATTATTTTTGTTTATAGAGAGAGAAAGATATCTAAGTACTTAATCGTTATGCAAGAAAAGTCAAAATATGTTACGTGTTTTCTTGAACAAACATATTTTATTAGTATAATTTATTAGGTACAACAGATAGATAAGTACCTAGGTATCCACTCGCAGCGGGAAATAAAGGTAAGTTGTAGTGTGATACTTACCCATATAATATTATTATATTATTACAATTTATAATTATAATACTGTCGCCATCGCCGRATAAGGACTATTCACTAAACAAAGAGATTAAACGGGTTTTGAGCCGACAAGCATGTGTAATATATCATCATTATAATATTATATGTCATAATATGTCATATGTGTATAATATTAAACTTACTTGCATTTATCAAACACGTAGGTATTGTTGTATTACGTTTTTTGGACAATATTTTGCTGACTATAATTACAAAAAAATTAATATATATYTTATATTATAATTTATATTAGATATTTATMCCTCAGACCTCAGTCAAATCCCTCCAAAAGAATATTGGAGTTTTTGTAATGTACCTAGCTGATAAATGATTAATCATTGTTGGTAAATCATTTTTGATTCTTCGTCATTTTCAATAATATTTTGCTTAACAGGTATTAATAAAAAAAATGAATTCTTATAGTATTTTTYCATCTACATGAAAACTTGTTGCATTTTACCTTGACTCAAATATTCAAAYCATCATTGCTAAGCTAAGAATATGGTAGGCAAACTGTAAAAACTATACATTACTACTAAGTCCTAAGAGAACATTTTCATGGATTATATATAGARTTATAAAATTACTATCGTACGACTTATTATTTTTATTAATTTAATGTAAGTTTTGAGAACCGTCTAAATGCGTTAACATTGTTGTCTGTTGGCCATTAATAGAAAAGTGGTTATTGATGCCAAAGAAATTCTTGATCAAAACTAGGATAAATAGATCTAGGTATAATTTTATAAATTACAATATCATTTTTTTTAACGGGTACAAACTACAAAGCATAGTAAAAATATACTTATTGATTAAATAATAATGTACTTTTTAATGTATATTCTATATAGGTATAATTGTTATGATATTGGAAGGAAATGGTATTTGTTCCAATGATTTCATTCATTTTTCAGGAACTTAATGAGAACGCCTATTTTATTTTTCGTGTGAAGGAACCTAAACAATTTTATTTGTTCCGTTTTTTATCAATTAATTCTTAAATCTATAGAATTTAAGTAATTTATTATAACAAAAGTTTTCACATTTTTATTTTTTTTTTTAGTAATTTAATTAATATCATAATAAACTACATTAAACGACAATGTTCCATAAACGATAATATTGGGTATCCCAACAATTGAGCGAATGTAAATGAGCGAATAAAAATATAAGCAAAAACATATAGAGCGAAAAAAATATAATATTATAATATAATTAAAATAAGTGAGTGGTCAATTTATATATTCAATTGGCAATTGATGTAAATCATCGAGAATTTGGGGATTAGGTGGAGCTAAGCAATTTTTTTGTCTCGTTCTTTGAATAATACGT